AGAACTCTAACGAGCCACTTACAAAACTCTTAGGAAAAAAAGGTAAGTAAAAGAAAGGAATCGGTAAACTTAAGAAGACCTAGTTCTAGTGCTGGTACATATAGATGTTGATCTCTTTGCTGGTAATGTATTTGATGTGATTGGATCCAATATGTTATCTAGTTATTTGCTTGATAAGATAGTTATTTTTTTTGTTATTTTAAGTACACTATCATTAGGATAATTCAATGGGATTTGGTATTAATCTTTTTGATACTTAACCTTATTTAATTCTTTAATATATAGAAATTATAGTATATAATTTCTAAATTAACGGATCTTGGGATTAAAATATCAAAAACCTTAAATTAATGATGAATTTAACATTATTTACTTACTGTGCTTTATTATATATTATTAGTATAATTTTTAAAATTAATGATATTATTTGTATATACATTATGATTTTTAAGTCTAAAAATATTTATTTATCTATTACATAGCTATTTGCTATTCAAAGTTAGGTATCTGCTATATGTTACAAATGGATGTAGTATTTATTTTTTATAACCCAATTTAATTTCAATATTTTAGTTTTTGTATGGGTTCATGAGGCGGGTACCATACTCATGGCTATCCTTATAGGTACTTGGAGATTGAAATTTGTCTTATTTGCTTCACGCTTGGAGAAATCACATATCCAATAGTCAAACACATGATTGAAAATTAGAATATAATTTTTTTTAATCAAAATTGAATAAAATTGCATGCCTTGTATATCATTTTATATTATTATTTAACTTTTTCATCGATTTCCCCTTACTTAAATTTAAAGTCTCTTATAATTCACATAAATTTTGGAATTATAATAAATTTAAGTTATGTTGATGATGAAGAAAGTGTTACTCAAATATCTCAAGAAGACACCCGAACGATTTGTGCTACATCTTGATTTACGCCATCAGGGAATATTGTGGAAAGCTATATGAGAATCCTATAAATAATGCACCAAATAAAGATAAACCTAGATTCTCATTAGGCTACTGTATGGTAGTTGCAAGATAAGATCCACAGGATTTACCCAACAATCTCTCAAATTAAGGAAGAAAAAAAAATGCATGTTATGGGATAACTCTATAACATAAATTTGAAGTTTCAAACTTATAATACAAAGTAATTAGTCCTTAAGATTCGTTGATAGGCACATTTAAATTAAATGAAAGGAGAGGTTGCCTGGACCAGACGTATCATAACTAAATGGAAACACATCTTGTTCCCATTGGCATGTCATCGTAGCTTGTTCTTATTGCATTGTAATTATGAATTAAAAAAAAAAATAAAAATAACTATTGGATAAATGAAGCTAAAATTAACTTCCTCAAGTCATTTATTCATTTGGCATTTCCAAACTTGACAAATTTAGTTCTAACCACTCAAATATTTTGCATTTATTTGGCAAATTAGGATAAAATTTTGTGTTTACTGTAAAATTATCCGTGAGTCATCTCAAATAGGAAGGTCATGTTATTTCTTAGGATCTTTGGAATTCACCAACCTTTGTGGACACAAAATTTCATAATTTAATATATATTTGAGAATGAGTTTGATAGATGATAAAAGCGTTGGTTGCAACTTCAAAATTTTGATATATTAAGAGTTTATCCTAGGAATTGATATTGGATTCATTAAATAAGGTGAAATCATCATATTGAAAATCGAATTAAATGCTAGTTTATGGGCATTAGTTTTAATGTGCCCTTAGTTTTTCGAAGGCCCATATTTTTCTTATGTTTAGTTCTTTATATAAGTCTTTTTTTCCCAATATCCTCATATAAATCATGCATGTACTGTGTGAATGATTATGAAAATATATTAAGCTTTGGCTCAATAAAAATCTCAACAAGACCTTCAACTTGTTAGATTGAAATCCTTTGATATTCTCGAATGGCTTCGTTTTTGTAGATTTATCATCAAATGAAATAACAATTTCAACAAATGCTTTATTAGCCAGCATAATTGATCATCAAAATTTTGCTAATATGTCCATTGGTTTGTGGTGATCAACAATTGAAAATTTAGTGTTATATTTTTTTCAAATATTTTTTAAGAAAATATTGTAAACGGTTTTTAAATCAATATTGCAATTTAAATAGCAATTAAAATATAATTTACCAATGCGGGATGTATCAATAATTTTGCAACATGATATGAAATCAGTTACCTCAAAAAATTATCTACACTACACAATAATTTCATTTTTTTTGAAATTTTGTGATTAACCTAAGACAATATTCATGCTAATACTCTTTCGTTATTTATATGGAATTGGCAATGTCGAAGATAATTGATGCATGATAATGAATGAAATTATTTATGAGTTATTATTTTTATTTGTTAGATTGATGCATAAGTTAAAATAATGCAGCAATTCAACAATGGATTAGGATTGGGTAGTGTATGTATTGTTTTCCTTGAGAAAAGTGGCAAAAGTGGTCCCCTTATTATTTATTGGTTGGCATTTTTATTCTAGAACTTTTAAAAAAGTCAAAACTAGTTCCCAGACCCTTTAAATCTGAGTTGATATAGTCCTCTATAAACGTCTGGGGGCTAAATTGACTAAAACGGTTCTTTGCAAAGAGAATGGATTATTTTGGCACTTTCCTATTTTCTTCGCATTGACTTTCATGTAGGGCTGAAACTTTTATAAACATGAGGCTAGTAGCCAACTTTAAGATGGTTGGACAAGTAAATGATTGAAAGTAGGTTGTTGCAGTTGAAGAGATTACATGAAAACCCTAATTGGACACTATGTACTTCAGTTGAAAGAGGAAGCTTCTTCATCGAATCCACCACCTACATTATGAAAGAAATGAAGTATCACTCTTAAACTCATGAACCATTCATTCGGAAAAAAGGAATAAAAATTGAGGGAAATGAATCAATGCTTGAAATGACCATAAAGTTGTCGAGGACAAAGGGACAAACCAAAAATTAATTCCTTGGTGCATTCGTTTGTGTGATTGACCTCTATTGAATTATTTTATTTTTATGTACTTTTTAATGCCTATAAATATCCATATAATATTTTGAAATGAGGTGATGAATTGATGCTTGATTATTTGCTTTGTTGGCGATTCAATAGAAAAGGCTTGGCAGTTCCTTATGAAAGGCATAATAGTCCTTCCATTAAAATGGTATTTGAAATTCATCTTGCACCTCAATCATTTTGGTATCAAAGCAAATGAACCTGATTGCATGCTGCATATGGGTGAATTTTGTGTTTCCTCTTGTTCAATTTATTTAGTGATATTTTCTTCTTCACATCTGGCAACTTTGATTCGTAATATTTTCAAAACTTTTTTATCTCTGTGCTTATAAATCTTCTATGTTATCTTTTACTTTCTTTCTGTCATGTAGCTACTAGTACTGCTTTTTTGTGGGATCCAATATTTTCGATAATTTTTTCTTAAATGACTAATTTTAGTTAGTATGTAAATATTTGAGCGGTTGTCTTATTTATTTTGTTCAAAGTATCTAGTGATTTCATCCTTTCTTTTATTTTGCATTTATACGATTGCTTTACATGTTTCTTTTCTTGTATCATGGCATGCTTCTTTCTTCCATTGTTAAAAAGTCATAAAAGTGACACGTAAGAGGGAATTTGTGAGGGATGACAATGTGGTGCGGCATGACAGAGAAGTTAGCTCTGAAGTGTGCATATTATATGTTGTATCAACCATAATCTTATGTCCAATATCAAGAAGATATTATGATGTAATTGTGAGCTTTGACATCAATTTTATGGAAAATGTTTTATGGTTTTGGATTTTTAATGCAAATTTAATGTGTGAGATTTTTTTCAACATCCACACAAAATTCATATGACACTAGCTCTTATTATTTTCTAATTTTGGTGAAAATTGAAAGCAAACTGAAAGCAACTCGGTAGCGAATTCCAATGGCCTCCAACTAAAAATAAATAAATATAAATTTTAGATCATGAGTGCCATTCAAACTTCGAAATTTTTGCACTTGATGAAAATCAAATTATTTTAAAGTCGGATTAAATGTAGGCATGTTCTTAAATCAATATTAAGGTATAAAGAATAAAATAAAGGAGCACCCTTTCCTTTGTATAAGAAGATAACTTCATTTGAGACTTTTCAAGTTTTAATTGATCAACAAGTTGACTCGCTAAAATCGATGAAAAGAACATTCAATTAATATTTTATTGAAGTTACCACTTGTTAGGTTTCGTCCATGCATAATACAAAACTAGTTGGAAATTTTCTTATACATGTTCAATGCGGACCCATATTCAGAATGCATATATTGATCCTTTTCAAGTTTTTCTTGATCAACAAGTTGACTCGCTTAGATCGAATGAAAAGTATTAGAAGATACTAGAAGATTTATTAGGAGATATTAGAAGATTTTTCTAGTTATTATGTTGTCTTTCCTGTTATTTCTTTTAATATGTATTTATGTATTTCCTACTTTATGTCTTTTCTTTTCTTTTCTTTTTATCTTTTGGCTTTTGGGTGTTATTAGGAAAAATTTGAGTATTATATCTTCCCTTTTCTATACCCTTACATTATGTATCTATACCTCTTTTTGCTGCTCAATGAGATTATTCCTCTCTATTCTCAAATCTAACATGGTATCAGAGCCATAGTTCTACCCTAGCCGTGAGATTGGAGTTGCTTGTTTAATTTTTCAGTTCTCTATTTTTTTTGTTCATTACTTTATTTATCCTGACCATCGTAATTGCTTTTAGGGCACGTCTGATGACATACAAATTCACCTACTTGCTGGCAACTTTATGATATTCAGATCTCAAATTCTTGAAACTGTGTATTTTTTATGTGCCCTTGATCACATTTCTTCCCTGTGATTATTGTCTGTTGTATGATCTATTTTATGGAATTTGTTGTCTATTTTTTGTATTTTCTCATTATTATACCCATTTATGTTTTTGTTTTTCCTTTTTTGTTTTTATTTATCTTTATCTCATCTTTCAGGTACTGGCCTGGATGGAATGGTATCCAGAGTGCCTATTTCTGTTGAAATGAGGAAAAAGACACTTTTGCTTTTGAAAGCGAAAGAACGGGCAAGTTCTTATGTAAGCAAGCAGCTACTTCACGTCTTGATTCTTTGTGCTGTTTTTTCCTCACCATTTTATTATTGGCACGTCATTTTACTTTCATTGAGTGACCAATGGCAGCCACTTGCAGGATGCTTCATCACAAATAAGAAACTTACAGGGCTCAACTTCCTTTAAACAGATTCAGCAACTTGAGGCTTCTGGAAGAGTTATTAGAAGCATATTATCTAACAAAGAAAGACATCAGGTGTTGACATCTCAATCAGACACTCAATTAGTTAACGGTAACAAAGAGAGAGAAAAATGCCCTCCCAGACCTCCTCTCACCCCGCCAAATTCGAAGGAGCGTTCTTCTGGTTTATTTAATTCATCTGCTTCTGATGGTGATGGAAAATTGCTTCCGGATGAACAGGTTGATTCAAATGAATCACATGTATTTATTAGTGATAATAAACATGACAAGCGCCTGAGAAATAAAGATAGGCCTGATCGCAGTGTATGGGCTCCCCTTCGTCGCTCTGATGGTTCTCATGGTAGGTGCAGGATTTTTCTCGTCTTTGGCACTTCAATAATTTTCATCTGATTCTTTATGAAAATGTACTTAATGAATGAGCGAATATTTTCCTGTTGAGTGTAGGGCGTGGCAATAAGTTGTTATCTACCAATGAGATCCCATTCACTCATGATGTGAAACATGATTCTCCAAATAGAGATTCAGAATTTAGAGGTCTTGGAGTTGAACGAATGAGCCATACTTTGGATAATGGTATGCTTTGGTGTTTCTTTGTGCAGTTTTGGTTATAATTGTCGGGATTATTTTGTATTCTTTTGCAGTACATGTGAGGTTTATGAGAGCATTGAGCTGTATATATTCTTGTATAGGTACACAAAGGCATGTAGGCCGTCGCGGATCAAATTATGGTTCGAAGGAGTTAGATAGCCCTACAACTATAGCAGAAGGGAAACCGTTGAAGAAAGGTCCTTGCTATGGGTCGTATGAGGTGAGTTGCTTCTTTTGGGGAAACCTTTTTGTTGGTGTCAAATGCTGACTAATAAAACTCATAAGATTATGTTTCACAGAAACAAGTGTGGGTTCAGAAGTCCGGTTCTGCTTCATGACCTGCCCTTGAGGATGTAAGTATTAATCACATTTTATTACTTTTTTCTCTATGTTAGTGGAACTTGTAGTCTATGCTATTTTTTATGCATTTTGCTGTTGCAAAAGTAATCTTCTTTCAGCATCACTTGGCTCTAGTCACGTATTTCAGAGGAGGCTATTTAATCTAATCCATCCGTGCACATTCTAGTGATTTTTCTTTGTTTTATTCACGCCTGAAATGTTTCGAACCCCATTTATCTCGGATATGTGTACCAAGTTGCAGTCATCACTAGCACCATGCCATTGTTTGCGTCTTAATTACATGCATTTGAAGTCATATTTAAGTAATCAGAAGTAGGATGGTTTGATCCTTATGTAAATCAGGTGATTGATGAATTCTTAATTGATTGAACTATTGCAATAATAAAAAAAAACTAAAGGCATATTTCCTTGTCCTCTGTTGGGTGAAGTAAGCATAGCCCTTTGGGCCAGGTCTACAAATTTATTCCTCACACGTGTGCAGATGAGTCTGTGGAGAGATTATAGATCAAGGAAATGTGGTTAAAATTAGAATGAGAAAAGTGGAAAGTAGAAAATGAAAAATCTTATGTTTGAATTTTATTTTTTTGCAGTGTGGAAAATGCTCAGATGTAAGCTATGGTTGGAGAAACAATTAGAGTAAAGAATCAAATATGAAAATAAATTTTTAATTGTGGAATCTAAATATAACTTTACAATAGAAATTAAATATTATTGTTCATGGATAGTTGAATTTCTGTAGATGTAAAAATGTTAGCTATGAATTACTAGATTATTGCAGATGGAAAGAGGATAGTCACGGATTTTTTTGGTTAATTTAGCTAGAAATATGTTGACTGAATTCATGATTATTTCAACGCTTCTCAAACTAAGTTTTATGTGTTGATCATTCCTAGCTTGTTAATTAGATTATCAAAATTTTCTCTAGTTAAAGCCTTAATGAGGATATTCATATTTGTGTTCTGAGAGTTTGTTGGAATATATACTTTAGTTAGTTTAGTCTATTTTTATTTTTTTAGAGATGCCATACTTAAATGCGTTTTTATATAGTTAGGCTTTAGTAGGTTTGTTGTATTGTTAAGGTCATAGAGAGTTTGCTGTTTTGGTGATGGATCGGTTGGTTGAATAAGAGGCTTATTTGAAATGTTTGATGTACGCGAGTTTGATGAAAGAGAATAAGAGACGATTGCATAAGTTTCAACTTTAAAATTGTCATTCAAAAATTTACTCCCCCTGATTTTTGGGTTTGGAGTAGCAAGGTTAGTTCAAGGCATGTTATGTTTATGGAATTATAATTTTTGTCAGTGACTAAAAAGTTTTATTTATACTTTTATGATTTGGGGGTAACCAATAAAGAAAATTTTAATAAAATTTATTATCTAATTTCTTATAGTGCTAAGAATGAACGTAAATTATTATCGAACCCTCAAAGTTTTTTGGATAAAAGAAATAAATTTACTATTACAAAACGAAGAAAAGGGTTTGAGGGTTTGAAATTTATTATCACTACTTAGGAATATTTGTGGAGAACATTAGTGATCTAGCCACCCCAATTTTATTAAGGGATGTCGAGACATGGATTAATTTTTTATACAACCACAACAACAATAGCAACAACAAAGCCTTTATCCCACTAAATTGGGTCTACTACATGAATCCTTTTACTCTTTTGCGTCTTATGGAGTGTCATATTTTCATTTAATTCTATTAGATTAAGATCATTTTTTATACAATATGCCCAAGCCTATTTAGGTCTACCTCTGCCTTTCTTAACGTTAATCGAAGCTAAAACATCTACTCTTCTAACCGGATCATTAGATGGTCACGTTTAATGTGACCAAACCATCTAAGACAACTCTCTCTAATATTGTTCTCCACTGGAGCTACACCAACCCTATGACAGATATAACATTTCACATTTTGTCTTTAAGTGTCACTCCACTCATCCGCCTAAGCATTCTCATCTCAACAACTCTTAAGTTTGTTTTATGCTTGTGCTATAGAGCATTGCAGGTCTCACCACCATATTTTAAAATTTTCTTTTTTGTTTAAGCCTTACTTTTCTATCACACAATAGGCTCGAAGCATTCCTTTACTTCAAACAACCAACTTGAATTCTACGAATAGTGTCCCCATCTATATAACCATCACTCTGAACAATTGACCCGAGATATCTAAACGTTTAATGATTTGATCACCCATAGTTACAACTCTGTCATTAGAGCTACTACTACTAAAATTATAATCCATGTATTCAGCTTTAGTTCTACTCAAACGAAGACCTTTAGACTCCAATGTAGACCTCCATAATTTGAGTTTTTTCTTTAATTCTTTCTCCAGTCTTATCCACAAGAAGGATATCATTAGCGAAAAGCATACACCAAAGTACATTCTCTTGTAAATGTCCAGTCAACGCATCCATAACTAAAGCAAAAAGATATGGGCTTAAAGCCGACCCTCGATGTAATTCAACTGAAATAGGAAATTACTTGGTCAATCCTCCTATTCGAACACGATAACAACTCTAATATACATAACTTTAATGACTTGAATATAAGTCATATCATCACCTTTTTTCTCTAGAACTCTCGAAAGGACTTCTCTTGGAACCTCATCGTGAGATATTTTCTAAATCAATAAAAATCATATCTAGAGTATTCTTATTCTCTCTGTAGTTCTCCATCAAATCTCTCAATAAATGTATAGCTTCCATGGTAGTCCTGCCCGACATAAATCCAAACTAATTATGAGAAATCCTTGTATCACATCTTAACCTATGTTCAATTGTCTTTCCCATAATTTTAAAGTATGAATATTGGAGATAAATTTTTTAGGTTGGTTTGAAGCATTCTTTGCCATTGATGATTTTTGAAACTTGGTTTTTTAATTAAAATTGAGTCATGCTGTTGAAATATTCAAAGATTAATCCCTCTTTGATTTTTTCTTCATTAAGAAAACCCAATTTTCTTTACAATAAGAAAAATGTGGTTGTCCTAGGCAATAGTGTCAAAGCCAGACATGCTATCATTTTTAAAAAGCAATTAGAATTTGAAGGTTTTGGTGGATAGCCGGTACATTGCTTGAGTAGTCATTATTTAGGAGGCAGAGTTTATTTGCAATTCAATCAACCTAGTTTAAATCTTGAGAGCGAAAATTTATTTTATAAATTTGTAATTTTTTTTTTTTTCTTGAGCATGTTTCTTAATAGATAGCAAGTTGTAATATTGGCTAGACACTAAAAGCAAATATTTTTGTCATATCTTTTGAGAGAATAGCTGAAATTATTCCTACCACTTTTGATTACTACTCGCTCTTAATTTAGGCATTTTAATTTTCATGGTCTGGCTTATAATTTTGAAAGAAATTTATTTCGTCATATGATTTAATGTTCGCGTGTCTGCTTGTCAAATAGTAGATCCTTTTAGGTTGCAATGAGGACATCTAATAATTTTCTTCTTCAAACAACCATGCTTATGCTGGGCAGGTTAAGCTTCTAATAGGAGAATAGTTAATTATTTTTTTATTTTTTATTTTCTAGATGAAATCAAAAGTGAGAACAACTGTGATATGTGTTTATTGTTTGTTTTTTTTGAAATTTCTTAGTCCAATATTTTATCATGTGTTTTTTATGTTTTTGATTTGAATTTTTCATTTTGAGGTCTATTTCTATCATTTGAGTTTCTTCGTTACTAGTTTCTTTGTGGAAATTTCCACTATTTTCTTTGTCAGTATTTCTTCACATAAATTTTTATCACTAGCTTGATTAAGACTTAATTTTTTAAATTAAACTTTAATAGCTCTGATATCTTATTGGAATTTAGAAGTGAAAAGAGTGAATAATGAGAGATTTTATTACTAAATATTATTATATTGTTCTATATTAAAAGGACGAGAAGCTTCTCATAATAGGCGGCAAAATAACTATCAAAGAAAGAAATAAATATGAAATTAATCTTTAATTTTAGAATCTTGAATCACATGCACAATAAAAATAAAATGTTATTCACAAATTGTTGGTTAGTTGTAGATGAGGAGCGGGTCCACGAATTATGGGATATTATCGGTGAAAGTTGCTATTTTTTATATTGCTGTAGATTGAATAATGTTGGTCATGTGTTTAGAATTATTTAAAAAAAAAAAAGGATAGCCACATATAATTTACTATTTAATTCCATTGAATTTACAGTTGACATGGTCTAGATCTGTTAGATAGGAAAACTTCAAATTTAAATTTAAAGAATGGCCAACTTATTCACCCTTCAGTACTTTTGAAAAGGTATATGAATTGATACTATTAAAGTTGTTTGGTCCTTTTTATGTGTATTTAATGGTCAAGACATTAGTTGCTAGCATAGGGAGCCATTTGAAAGAGGCGTTATTTTTTCACTCATTTTGATTATAAAGAATAATTTTACTTAGTATAATATAATAATCTTCAAATTAAATAATAAAATGCAATAGAAAACATATATTTTTATTTTGTTCTTATAATTACTAAAATGGTAAAAAATTTTCAAATGGACAACCTAAAAGAAAGGATCTACAAGATCTAAAAGTTACTTTTCATGTTTAACAGATAAAAGAATTAGTTTGTAGCTTATATAGCATAATGATTAATCTAATATCTATTAATATCTGTTTCATTTTCTTCATCGCTGGTATTCACTTTGCATTATTAGATTTGTAGCCACGGTTTTATATGCTTTGAAAATGATTAAAAAAAATGCATCATATAGGCGAGCATGACACTTGGCGCCTTTTACTAATGTACTCATCTGGGTGCATAGCGCCTTAGTGGTGACGCTCACTTAGTAATTATTTGAGGCAATGAAACCTCACCTTCCTCACTAGTGCTCGGCTTGCTTTTGATAAATGTGGTAGGAATTCAAGGATGTACTATTCATTCCTTTGACTTCATTAATGTATTTAGTCTTTCCATTGTAGTTTGTTTAGAATTGCACTTGCCATGTTAAAATTGTACAAATTGGTATTGCGT